CCACAGCTGTCTTCCTGGATGTCTGTATCTTCAGATATGACATGAGTGCGCACCGTGGGCGGCGCTCAGTCCTCCCTCCCTGTTTACTCAAGCAGCAGAGGTAATTAGTGCCGACCCAGCCTGTGGCTGACTACCTTCATCCTGCTGTGGTCCAGGACGAGCCGTGTCCACTTCTCAGCGGGCCCTGCCACCTCCCGGTCCTCGCCCTGGCCCCTGGGATGCTGCATCATGGGTGCTCTCTGATCCTTAGTCTCACCTCCTTGCTCTGTTGACGAAGTACATCCAAACCTGTGTCTGCCATTCAGTCACTACTGAATGAATGTGGCTTACGGCTTCTCATGGGGGCTGTTTGGGTCTCAGCTTCCTGAGAAAACGAGAGCCAACGACTGCTTCTGTGTCTTCCAGTTGTAACTTTTCTGGGGCTCTTTGGTTACCCGATGGAGAAGATCTGCCACTGGCAGGGCTGCCTGTGAGCACAAGGAATCCTCCTGCTTGCCTGAGCTCCTCGGCCCACAGAGATGTGCCTTCCAAGCCTGCAGGAATATGGCCTCCCTGTGCTACATGCTTATTTAGTCATTGGTGGCACCTTGCAGGTCGCAACATAACTTTTCCTAGGGGTAGGTCCTGTCCTTGCAACTAGAATGTTGATATTCAAAGCCAGACACAATACAAAAAGTGTTCAGTCAATATTGGTCAAATAAGGACCGCAGCAAGGCATAGTCATATTTCTGTCTAGAGGGGATGCTGAGCTTAAGGAAAACAAGAATCAATACAGACATCAGGACTATGGTTCAGGAACCTTGGCTATGTTGATGCTGTGTGTCAAGACCTGGAATCCTGCGAGCAGAACAGATTTGTAGGATGGAGGGGGAATGGACCTAGGGAAATGCTACATTCTAGAATTCCTTCTTGGCTATTCTTGAAGAACATTAATGAGAAATGCAACCCTGGCCAAAGGAACATGCTTGACATTCCTGAATGGTTGAACTTGGTTTTGGAAATCTTGGTCCAAGATTTCCTTGGAAGGACCCTGGGGAGCAACTCCCTTTTAAGGAATGCTGGAAAAATTTGGAAAGGAGCATCCAGGGAGTAGGGGGAGCTGTAACCCTGGCTTTGATCCCCCCTCAACCCTTCCACAGATACCAGGAACTGAGTCCCATCTCTTATCAGGGAACAGCAAGGGGCCTCATGGGCCGCACTTGGGCATGAAGAGTTCTTTCCAAGGAAGAAGGAATCCAAGCCCTCCCAGTTTCTACTCAAAGGGACCCCATCACTTGCTGTTCTCAGAGAAGCACCCCTTTAGTTAAAAGAAAGGCTCTCACCTCCAAGCTCTCAACACTAACCCAACATCTACTCTTGCAACCATAAGAAATCATCTTAAAGTAGATCTGATACAGGGAAAGACATCACAAAACCTTCACGTAAAAACAAACGATGTGAGTGAGGTAGCTGCTGCACTCATTCCCATTATCTGAGCCTACGGGAAAAGGCAAGGTGGTGGCTTCCTCGGTGCTCACTGAGGCTGGTGAGATTGTACAATGATGTGGCCACCTGGAAAAGCAGTGTGGGAGTTCCTCAGAAGCTCACCATACCCAGCAACCTCATTCAAGACAAATGAGACCATATCCGTGTCAGAACTTGTATGCCACATTAACATCAGCATGATTTACATCAATGAAAAGGCAAAAACAACCCCAATACCCATCAACCAATGAATGGATACATAAAACACTGCCTACCCTTGCAACGGAATATTACTCAGCCACAAAAATGAATGAAGTATTGATTCACACATGGATGAACTGTGCAACTAAGCTCAGTGAAAGGAGCCAGAGACAAAAGACCACGTATGATGATGCGATTCCATTGACACGAAATGGGCCAGAAAAGAGACTGGTGGTTGCCTAGCACAGGGGGAGGGGAGAATGCTGAGCAACTACTAACGGGAGTGGGTTTTCCTTTCAGGGTGATGAAAATGCTCTGAAATTAAACATCGGTGACGATGCTCAATTCTGTGAGTACACTAAAATCGCTGATTTGTACACTTGAAAATGCGAATTCTACGGTATGTGAATTCTGTCCTAACAAAGCTGTATTTAAGAAGAAAGGGAATGGAAGGGGGATGGATACCTTCTCGGCATGATAAAGCATGCTCCAACAGGCAACGAGCAATGCAGAGTTTGCTAGCTCTTCCCTCCTGACCTGAGGCATCACCAGCAGGTGGCCTCCACAGCCCTGTGCAAGCTACAGGATAGTTGGTCTTATCCCCCTTTCCTTCTCCTCAAGGGTAAAATTAATCTGTCTCCAGTAGAGATTTCTATCAGTTTCCAGTGTATTTGCACGAGGAGTTTTGTTTTAATATCTGTACAACATGACATAGGACATGCCTATATGGTTTATCTGTATGGTTAGTTTTTTAAAATAGCCACCTTCAAATTATTTATTTTAATTTATTTGAAAGGCAGAGAGAGAGAGAGAGAGAGAGAGAGAGTTTCTGTCTGCTAGTTCACTCTCCAAATGCCCGCAGCAGCTAGAGCAGGGCCAGGCCAGAGTCAGGAGCCCAGCACTCAGCCTGGCTCTCCCATGTGGGAAGTACTTAATCTATTACTTGCCTCCCAGGGTGCACATTAGCAGGAAGCTGGAGTTGGAAGCAGAGGCAGGGCGTGAACCTGGGCTCTCTGATATGGGACGTGGTATCCCAAACAGCATCCTAATCCCTGCAGCAAATGTCCACCCTCACCCGTACATTTCTTAGGTGGGAAAGTCAAGTTCATTGAGGTATAACTTATATTCCGTCAACTTCATTCTTGAAAGGTTTCCAGTTCCGAATGTCGGTGAATGCTGGGTCATACAAACTCCGCCATCGCCTTTTCACGCCACTTGCACACACCGCTTGGTAGCCTCTCCCTCTCCCTCTCCCAGCCCCTGCTGCCCCCAGATCTGATGCCTGTCCCTAAGGCACTTTTTCCTTCCCAGTCTGCATCCTCACCATTCATTCTGAGATGAATCTGTCTCCCAAGCGGGATCTGGTTTGTATTCCCACAGCACACAGGTGGCGCTTGCCAGCTTCCCGGTGTCAGGGAACAGGTGCAGAACAGATGAACGAATGTTTGGCTTTTAGTTCTGCCAAGTCACATCAGGGATGGTGCATTCTGACTTCTAGGCTGTGCCATCTGAAGAGGAGCTTCTTACAGTGGGACAAGTCTCCCCCTACAGGTTTACACGTAAGTCAGCACACAGGCTGGAACTGCGCAACTTCTGAGTTTTTGAGGACCTTTCAGACATCTCCCTAGACAGCAGGTGTGGGCCCACAACTTTGCTCAACAGGCAGCTGGACCTCTCTCTTTTCTGCCTGAACAGACGGGAAGAGACTCTGTTGGCAACCTGGGTTCCTCCGCGGCTGCTTTTGTCCCCTCCCTCCTCTGATGCACCTCTCAGATCCCTCCGACTTCTCAAGGCATGGCCCGGAGTCTCATCCTGAGCTGCTCAGAACAAGTTCTGTGAGATTCCAGACAATCTGCACAAACAGCTCCAGGTGTGCAATCAGCCATCTGCTTGCACCTTTCTCATCGAACAGGGTGTGGCCCTGGGAAAACCCAGCTGCACCCCTGCCTGATGATCCGGCTGCAGGTGGGCTTTTGCAGGTCCTTACTTATGTCATCCTCCTCCTCCATGGATGTGAATCAGGAAACAGACATTCCCAGTGCCTGGGGCCAGTGCACAAAAATCTCCTTGACCTGCCAAGGCTATGAAAGGGTCTAGGCCTCGCAGAGAAATGCCCTTCCCTAAAAAGTGAGGGCCTTTTCCTCCAAGCTATCCCAAGCAGATGGGTCCCCATGCATGTCCTGGGGGTGGCAGGCCCCTGCTGTGCCCTCTGCCCAACTGGCCAAGTCCAGAGAGGTCTGGCATCACTGAACACCCCCACCCCCGCAACCTGGAATGCAGCACCTTGCCTCCAAGGCCAGGCCTGGATGCTGGCATCCAACTGCACCTGTCTCTTTCTGCTCCATCCTCTCACCCGGGCTGAAAGGCTTTCCTGCAGCGGCTCTGGGAGACACACAGTTCCTGCTCTAGGAGACAAATGTACAAGGTCAACTTGTACCAGGTGGGAAGTCCTGGGTATAACAGTGGGCTTTGTTACGCAGTGCCAAGTAAGCAAAAACACCAATAAGATTCTACATGTGGCTGCAGGGAGTCATTGGGCAGTTTGTAACTGTGGACAGAAGGACTATTAACCCAGGGATCCAGAGAAATCCTCACTATGGCAATGAGTGCATGGTACATGTTTGCATGGCTGCAAGCCTCTGAAAAAGAGAAAAAAGGGGGAGTCAGCACTGTGGCATCATGGGTCAAGTCTCTGCCTGCAATGTGGTATCCCATTGTGTGAGTCCTGGCTCCTCCACTTCCCATCCAGCTCCCTGCTAATGTGCCTGGGAGAGCTGCAGAAGATGGCCCAAGTGCTTGGGGCCCTGCATCCATGTGGCAGGTGGGGATCGAGCTCCTGGCTCTCCGTGGGACAAGCTCCAGGGGTTGAGATCACTGGGGGAGTGAAACTGTGGAGGGAAGAACTCTGTCTCTCTCTCTGTCTCGATTTCAAATAAATAAATAAATAAGGAGAGAGAGAGAAAGAGAGAAAGAGGGAGGGAGGGAGGGAGAGGGAGGGAGGGGGAGGGAGAGAGAGGGAGAGAGAGAGAAGGAAGAAAAAGCAGGGTGGAAGTAGAGAAAAGCTTATTTAATTCCATGTAAAGATCTACAGCTGCACCTTTTAGTTTTAGTAGCATCACCATGGAAGATAAGTTGAACTTCTTCCTGCAGGCCTGTGTTCACGCGTGCAGAGCGTGCTCACGCGGCTGCATGGTGGAAGCAATTTTAAGAGGGCTCTGAATAGTGATAAGACATGACCCAGCTCCGTGTGTGCACCGACGCCTACTGGAAACCCATTTAAAGGGAGAGCAGCGCTCAGCTAGAGATCAGACACGCTGCTGCACGTGTGCGTGCGCGGAGGCGCTGTGAGCAGCGCGCACCCCAGGCTGACGCGCAGCCCCCGGGTCGCTGCACCTGTGGCACCAGCGCCGTGCTGCGGGGGAGGAGGGCGGGTTCGGGCGGGCACTGCAGGGGCGGGGAGGGTGCGGACCGCAGCTCCCGGGGCCGGCCGAGGCGGCGCCAGACCCGGACACGGTGCAGGATGGAAGCGCAGGACTGCGGGGCGGCCGCCACGCCGGAGCCCCCCTGCCGCGGCTTGGTGGCCGAGTGGTGGGACATGGTGGGGCGGAGCGTGCGGTGAGTACTCGCACCCGCGCCCCTGTACCGCGGTGGGGCTGCTCGGGCAGGGGCGAGGGTGGGGGGAGGCTCCGAGGGTGCAGACCCCTGCGCGGAGCCTGAGCCCAGGATCTGTGGCCGCCAGAGCCCTGCCATCCTCGCCGCTGTTTGGGACACTCCTATGCGCAGCCTCAATCCTGGGCCGGCGAGACCCCCGGGTCTGACTTTTCAGGACCTTGAAACCTCGCAGGGGAAGGGGGACGACCTGAAACAGATTTTCCAAAGATGGCTCAGGATCCGTGCCAGTCTCTTTGCTGACCATTTCACAGATTTCCAGGACAGATTGGAATATTGCTCACAGAGTGACAACAGCGCCACGCTGTAATCTCAGATGGAATTCCTCTTACGTCAAGGGCCCTGGGCTGGGGCGAGAGCTGCCTGGGGTGTATTTAAAGAGCCACCCCCACAGTGCCAAAGATAGATAGCTCCTTGAAACAGTCACCTGGCATTACCTCTGCGCGAGTTCTTACCTTGCAAATCTTAGTCACCCATTACCTGCCTTGTTGGCATGGAAACCAGGCGTTGGGTGCAGACCCTAGGCTAGGCAGCCTCTTTAGTTGGTGTGTGTGGAGGGTATTGGCACTTCTGTTTGCGCTTCTTCTTTTTCACTCCTCTGGTTGGATTTCTCCTGGTTACAGAATAGCCAAGAATCAGATGTCGCTCTGGGCCACCCACTGGGAGGGGGCAAGCAGGGGTCTTGTCTCCTGTTCCTCCTGTTGGTTAGTGCAGAGGACAGCTCCAGGCTGGTCCAGCCTGCAGGCCCCATGCAGTGCCCCTGTGTGCGTGGCACCTGCAGATGGTCAGGGTTATACTGGCCAAACTCCCCTCCTGAAACGTGCAGTCCTCTCGCTCTCATTTTCTCTGGTTTTCTGGCTGTTTCACGTTTGCTTGATAGTAAAGAGCATTTGTCAGGCAGAGGATTAAAGCAGCGACTCCCGCTCTTAGAGAACAAGCTAAGTTTTTGGAGTGCGAGATGGGGGTGGGGCCTCTGTTACCTGCCTTACTCATCAGTAGGAAATCAACCTGGAGACATGTTCTGAAAGAATGAAACGTTAGTGCACATCTGCCCCCTGAGCGGATGACTGGTCTATTAAGGCTGAGCTGAGGCCGAAACACAGACCTGGTTCCCGCACCTGGAACCGGCTTTGTTGCTCGGAGCCCGGACAGTTCGGATCAGCGCATGTGTGCAGAGAGCTTGCTGCGTGCCTGGCCCTGCTCACGGCCCTGGGTCCATTGCGATGTACTCCAAGGCTCAAGAACATCTCATTGTAGGATGTGTTCCAAGATTCCTTCTTCACTCCTTTGGGGAATCTACCCAAAATGCTGTCACATCCACTTGCTGCTTACCGAGGGTGTGTGGGCCCAGGAGGTCTCTGCTCCAGACTGGTTTCTTTAAATTAGAAAAATGGATGGGCCCCTGCACCCACGTGGGAGACCAGGAGGAAGCACCTGGCTCCTGGCTTTTGGATTGGCCATTGCGGCCATTTGGGGAGTGATCCAATGGGAGGAAGATCTCTCTCTCTCTCTCTCACTGTCTGTAACTCTACTTTTCAGATAAATATATAAAATCTTTAAAAAAAAAAAAAGAAAGATGGAAAAGGTGATCAGGAAAGAGGCTGGGGGAACCGAAGGGCTACTGTCCTCTTCCTATGTCACATTTCTGGACAGTGCCTGCAAGACCCCCACCAGTGGATGCACAATGTCTTGTATTCTTTCCACAGTGCTGGTTGTGGCACTGCAGCCAACACTGACCAAATGACCCGATGCCCAGGAAGGACAGGAGTACCTCTTGGCATTTTGGAACAGTGATATTTTTTTTGACAGGCAGAGTTAGACAGTGAGAAAGAGAGAAGGACAGAGAGAAAGGTCTTCCTTTTCCATTGGTTCACCCCCCAAATGGCTGCTATGGCTGGTGCGCTATGGCCGGCGCACTGCGCCAATCCAAAGCCAGGAGCCAGATGTTTCCTCCTGGTCTCCCATGCGGGTGCAGGGCCCAAGCACTTGGGCCATCCTCCACTGCCTTCCCGGGCCACAGCAGAGAGCTGGACTGGAAGAGGGGCAACTGGGACAGAATCCAGCGCCCCAACCTGTACTAGAACCGGGGGTGCTGGCACCGCAGGTGGAGGATTAGCCAAGGGAGCCGCGGCGCCGGCCAAATAGTGATCTTGAAAATACGGTTAGATTGGGCTTCCTAAAGCTGCTTGGCAGATACCTCTGAGCTGGAATGGTTCTGCAGCGGCTCAGGCTCTGCCAGTTGTCACCAGTGAGACTCATCCAGGCCATGCTGATCAAAGGGTGGGCGACAGAGCACCCAGGACCCAAGGCACCCTCTGGCGTGGCTGGCTGCTAGCTGGCGGGAGCTCAAAGTGTGACCTGCGCTCCAATGATGTCTGTGAGCTGCTGGTGACTTCTCATCTCCTTCTGATCTTAGGGAAGTCACGCTGACAGCCCCCTGGTTAAGAGAAGCGCCCTGCATTATGGATGCTCAGAGGAGTCTGCTCGCTCTGCCCTCTTCCCACAGCCCTGCTCCCCGCAGAAGCGCCCCGAGCGCTCTGAGAGAAGGGCCTGGGTGAATTATTCCTTAACAACCGGTGCATATTCCTTCTACTGCCTCTGTCCCAGGCGGACCTTCAAAGAATAACTTAGCGGGAGCCCACCTTGCCCGCCTTCACAAGCTGCCCCAGCAGAGATCACAGGCAGTCTGCGGGGACACGGTGGGGGCTGCCAGGGAAACGTCTCCATCTCCAACGACCTGCTCAGTTCTGCCCATGGGGCCTTTGTCCAGAGCTCTCGGTGGCTTCTCTGGGATTTGCTTTCTTATTTCTAAAATCAGAACCCTGTCCTCTCTTTGCTGCCACCCTTATGGAGCTATTTTAGACAATGAGGCCACCATGATCCTGCCTTTCTTGTGGATTTGTGAACCAGCAGCTTCCCGAGATTGAGGATCTGAAGAGCTGTACTTGAACCTTGGCTCACATCTCTTTCCTGCTTCTTGCAGAATTGCCGGGAACCCACCGTCTTCTCCCTTCCTGCCTCTCCTCACACACAGAAGTGCCTTCGCTTTCTCAGTCATTAACACTTGGGGGAGAGTTCATTTTGTAGGGGTCACCCGTTGAAGTCTTTGCTCCCAGAGGGCTCCTGAGAATACAGGAGCCGGTGGGGGTGGGGGTGGGGAGAAGAGGGAGAAGGCTCCCCCCAGAGGAAGCAAGGGTGCAGAATGGGAGCTGGGGATCCTAAATCCAGATTCCCTAAGAGCACAGATTTTTTTTTTTCCCTAGAGGCCAGCCTTGATCATGGGCTTTGTTTTTGCTTACCTGGGTGGCAAGCAGATGCACCAGGACTGGGTAGCTCCTTGGCGACCATCACAGGATGCTGGGGCAGACAGACCTGGGGCTCTGCATTCATGGGCTTGTGAGCTTGGAAAGGTTGCTTAACTTTCCAGACTCCTCACTGCAAAGCAAAGATGACAATAGTTGTCTTCCAGAAATGCCTCTGATCTATCAGAAAAGTCAAGGCGAGGTTGGAGGTGGGGGTGGGGGCAGTGACAGTTTATCACAAATGCTTTCTAGCCCCTACAACCTTGGTCTAACACGGACCACACACAGTAGGGAAAGGCACTTACCTGAGGGATTAGAAGGACACAAACTGGAAGCAAAAGACACTGACCTCCTCTTTTGACCCTCCTGAGGGATGTGGCTTGAGATAGAGGTGGCACGAGTGACCCCTCAATGCACAAACCATCACTTGTCTGCTGTTAACACCCACCTTAGATGCTTTGCTTCACTGGAAACAACAGAATGAGCAACACACACGTGGCCCCATGCCACTCCCTGCTTGGGCCCTGGCCCTGGTGTAGCCATTCCAGGTCTCCTCTCTCCCTCCCTCCCCTCTGTGCGCCTCCTCCCCTCCAGGATTGTCACCTCTTCTCTGACTCATTTCTTCCTAAGGCTGGGTCACAAGGGAGGCATCTAATGATGACTTGCTCCCTGCTTTAGATGACTGGTAATAAGAGCCAACACCCACGGGGCTGAATTGTGATATCATTAGAAATGTGGCAACTGTAAGCTCTCTGCGTCCTGTGACCTGCTGACGCCGGGGTCCAGCCTTGGCCGTGCGTGGGGCTACATGAAGGGAACATGCCCGGCTTGTTCCCTGGCACAGCCGTCGTCATATCAAGCCCTGGGTTTTTCAGCGACTGGTGGGGGGCTCAGCCTTGCTGCTTTCTTCATCTGTTTCCTCCTTGGTGCCCAGCTCTGTCCAGCACTACAGACTGTCAATCATATACTGTTGTGTAAAGAATTGGCTTAATTGCCAAGTTTAACTGGGATGCCCAGTGTGCATCCCTGAAATTTAACTTGGACTTCAAGAGAAAAAAAAGGAGACAAAATTCAGACATATGTTGACAATTTTGTTTGTTTCCCAATATCTTTCAGATCTTTCCCACATTCCTGTTCAACACTTGGAAGAAAAATTGCTGCTCTGTACAACAGCTTTACTAGTAAACCATTAAAAGAACACATTTTCCCTCCTCTGATGGAAATGCTAATTTATTTTAATTTTTGTAAGTATTTCTCTTCCATGAATTTACTTACAAATAAAGAACATACAGCCCTGGAAGCTGTGACATGACGATACAGACCTGTCAGTTATAACATTGTGGCTATGCTGAAATGGTCTGAAACATATTCAGTATTGACTTTGGGGTCTGGCATGGGTCTTTGCAAACTGTTGGGGATAGAGAGAGGGGCCTGGTCTCAAAGGTGAGGTTTATGTGAACACTGAACTGCTAATTGCATTCTCTGCTTGGCCCACCCCCTTCTTCTCTTTTTTGAAACAAAGAGTGACAGGAGAGAAACTGATTTTCCATCTGCTAGTTCACCGCCCAAAGGGCCACAATGGCCAGAGTTGGACCAGGCTGAAGCCTGGCTCTCCATCCGGGTCTCCTATGTGGTGGAGGGGAACAAACACTGGGGCCATCTTCTGCTGCTTTTCCCAGGCACATAAGCAGGGAGCTGGATTGGCAGTGGAGCAGCTGGGACTCAGACTAGTACTCTGACAAGGAAATCTGGCCTTGAAGGCCATGGCTTAACCCGTGGTACCACAATGCTGGCCCCATCGCTTCCTGTTCTTACCTGGGTTAAGTGAGTGAAAGAGACAAAGAGGAAAATGTGTTTTTCCCATTTTTTTTTCTATTGAACCAGGTGTTGGTCCAACAGAGTCTTTCTAGCCCTTCCCAGCATGCCTGCTGCTGTCCATCCTGCACATGTCTGGGCTTATGATTATTAGGTGTGACTTCAGTTGTAAAATACTTGTTGTCATTTTCTTCTAAGCCCTCTTAATTTTTTAAGGAAATGGTCGCCTTTGTTTTTAGCTTGAGACAAGGATAAAGGTGGAACAAACTCTCACTGTATTATAGGCTACCACACTGCTGATATTTTTCAATCATGCTTGAGGTTTTTTTTTTTTTTTTTTTTTTTTCCCCACTCTTCTGCATGCTGGCCCTGGTTGATAAAAGAAACTGCTGAATTAGGAGTTTAGTGTAGTAGCTTGTAACTTGGAAACATGTTATGCTAAAAAGGCTCATTTCTTTTCTTTTTTTTTTTCCTGGTTGTTATTAAAAGACAGAAATGGACAAAAACCAGAAGCAAGAATGATGACATCGACCTCCTGTCCCCCTTGTCTCTTTGACCCTCCTGAGAGCTGTGGCTTAAGATAGAGGTGGCATGAGTGACCTCTCAATGTGGCTGGTACTGATAACGGTTTCTCCTTTCCAGACAAAGCCCCATTTCTCGTGGATTTAAAGAATCCAGAAGCAAAGATCCCCCACACGGTGAACTTTTACATCAGCTCTGAGCCCGGGGTGATTCTGGGAGTGTGGTGAGTGCAGTAGGCGACACGGGATGGCTGGGGGGGAGGGTTTTCCTGTTAGAAGGGCACAGGGATTGGTGCTGTGTCACCTGCCTTCCTTTACTCGGAAGTGTGGCCTGCTTGGCTCCTGACTTCTCAGACATCAGCCTTTGTTTCTGGCCCCGCCCACTCCAGCCACACCCTCCCAGAATGTGCTCTGTTCCCAACACTTCCTTCTCTGCTCCCTGGCTTCCCTGGTCCTGGGTCACAGCTGCCTGCCCACCTCTGGGGTCTCACCTGAACCTGCACTTTCAGCAAGCTATTCTCACTATCCCCCCCCCCCCCCCGTTTTAGGTGTGTGCTCCCAGGGCCACCGGAGCGTGGTCAATGTCTGCCTTTGGTGGCAGGTTTTCATTCTTGGCACACGGATTGGGTCACAGAGGGCATGCAGTGACTTTGTCCAATAGGCAGTCTCATCTATTTTGTTTGTTTGTTTTTTGTTTTGGCTCTACTAATCACAAATTTTCTTTTTTTGTGGTTCTACTAATTAATTAGATTTGTGTGTGTGTGTGTGTGTGTGTGTGTGTGTGTTTCTACTACATGCTCCTGACTACCAAGCCTCCAGTGTCCCATTTCTCTTTCATCTCCCTGAGTTTAAAACTCTGATCATAGAATGCTCAGGGACCAGTATGGCTGCATGCACTTTCTTCCTCATCTGCCAGCTATAGTCGAGCTAACAGTTGGAATTTGAAAACCATCTTGCTCTTTTCTCTCCTGTTTGGTCTTTGGTTGGGAGTCAGTGGATCCCAGCAGCAGCAGTGCGTCTAGTGGGCAGTGCCCCCCCCAATCTCAGTACAGAGGCCTGTGAGGATGGCAGACTTCCTGCCCATCAGTGTTGAGAGGACTGCTGGTTTGTTGCCTCTTGTCTGGTCTTTCAAGTCCCCGTAACTTGTCATAGGAGAGCCTCTGCATTTTCAGGGTTTCTTCCTTGGTTTAAGAGGACAGGGAAACTGAAGCTCCCAATACTGTTTGAAATAACAAGGTCACGTGGTTTATTGCACTGCAGAAGCTTTGTTTCAAGGTGAGGTTTTTTCTCCCACAGAAACTAGGTTCTCCATAAATTCTTTCCAACTTACCTCTTTAACCAAAGCAATTGCACAACTACTACCTTTTGCTTGCTTTTACCCATTTGTTTTCTGTCTTTTTAATGGGTTGCACCTTAGAACTGCAGCCTGGGAAGGTTAGTAGATGCAGAAATGAGGCCTCACAACAGGACATGGTTAAAGGCACTTTCTTCTGTGCTTGGCATGGAGGGGTAGGAGAGGGGCAGCTATGATCATAAGATATTTTGTGGCATTTGATTTTTCTTTTTACCATGAGCACACATTACTCAGATAAAATTCATAAATATATGAAGGTATTTCAGACATTCATGGGAAATGCAATTAAAAGGTAACTTCACTTTGGTGACAAAAATTTTTTGAAATCCACACATAAGAGGTATCTGCAAAAGGTTCATGGAAATGGGCTGGGAGTTTGGCTCAGGCATTAATACACCATGCAGGATGCCTGCAGCCACCATCAGAGTGCCTGGTTCAAGTCCCGCGTCCATTTCTGATTCCAGCTTCCTGCTAATGCGCAGCCCGGGAGTCATCAGATGATGGTTCAAGGACTTGGGCTGCTGCCTTTGGCTTGGCCCAGCTCCAGCTGCTGGGGGCATTTGGGGGATTTTATGGACTTTCTTTCTCTGCCTTTCCAATAAAATATTTAAAAAACTTACAAACTGAAAAAAAGCTCACAGAAAATGCGTATTATGAAAAAACAACACATGGATTTCAAAATCTTTTTACACCCTAATAAGCTTATCTTTTCATTTTTCCAGAGAATTCCTGACTCTGTGCTTGTTTGTCCAAAACCCCTCCTTTCTCTGCAGGCACACAGTGCCCAGCTGCCGGGAGGGCGACGCCAGGGGGAAGGATCGGGGCTGGTACGAAGCGGCGTTGCAGGATGGGAACCCAATCATTGTCTATCTTCATGGCAGTGCACAACACAGGTCGGTGTCTCCGCTCAGGTTTGTTTTTTTGAGAGTGAATGCATGAAGCCCCACAGGGGACACTAAAGGCGTTGCTGAAACCTCCTCTCTGCATGCCTTCGTGTATTTAGGTAGTTCCGGCAGCAGGCTTCCCTTTAAAAAAAAAATTCTATATGTAGGATAATGTGGGCCCTTCCCTGAGAAGGAGAAAAGAGTAACTCTTCCCAAATGCAGATGCTGATCTCAAGAGGACAGGGTCTTCTTTATTCCCAAGGAGTGTTGAAAGGATGAGCTGGACCTGTGGCAGCTGGGAGGCGCAGAGTGAAATCTCTCGTCTCTCTCTCTCTCTCTCGTCCAGCCCTAATCAGAATGGAGATTATGAGGCAGGGGAGTCTCTTGCATGCCTGCCTGATGACAACTGTTCACAGCAGACGCTGCAAGAGCCACTGCCCCTTACAGAAAAAATGCTCCTGCCAGGACATCTGCCCACGAACTGTGTGTTCAGCCTCTGGAGGGTGCCACGCTGGTTATGGGTCCTCCTAGCTCAGATTACTCTTCCTTCCTTCCTTTCCTCTCTTTCTCTCTCTTTTTCTTTCTCTCCCTCTCTCTTTCTTTCTCTCTCTCTTTCTTTAAAAGCTTTATTTATTTATTTGAAAGTCAGAGTTACACACACACAGAGAGAGAGAGAGAGAGAGAGAGAGAGAGAGATCTTCCATCCGATGGTTCACTCCCCAATTGGCTGCAATGGTCGGAACTGCGCCCATCCAAAGCCAGGAGCCAGAGCTTCTTCCAGGTCTCCCACATGGGTGCAGGGGCTCAAGGACTTGGGCCATCTTCTACTGCTTTCCCAGGCCATAGCAGAGAGCTGGATCAGAAGTAGACCAGCTGGGACTTGAATTGACGCCCATATGGGATGCCAGCGCTTCAGGCCAGGGTGTTAACCTGCTATACCACAGCACCGGCCCCAGATTACTGTTTCCAAAACAAAAGTAAACTTCATGTTTTGCCCTTAATGACTTCCCTTTGCCTCAACCTCTTTGAACATGCTCTTAGTTTACTGGCTACATGCACCAAGGTACTTAAAAAATTCATGGAAAATGGAATTCAAAGACAAGTTTAGGGGCAGGCATTTGACACAGCGGTTAAGACACCAAGTGGGTTGCCTGCATCCCCTGTCAGGGTGTCTGCATTTGAGGCCTTGCTCTGCTTCCAATTCCGGCTTCCTGCTAATGTGGTCCGCTGGAGGCAGCAGCCATGGCTCAGGCAGTTGGGTCTGGGCCACTCCTATATGAGACCAGGATTGAGTCCCGAGTTCCTGGCTGCAGCCTGGTCCAGCTCTGGCTGTTGTGGGCATTTGGGAAGTGACCCAGGGGATGGAATCTCTTTTTTTGCTGCCTTTCAAATAAATAAAAATGAACAATCAATAAAGAGATGTTTATTTTTGTGCAAAAAATTGAAATCCATGCAGTTTTTCATAATATGCATTTTCCATGAAATCTTAAGACTCCTCCTCTTCCTATTTCAATGCTCTGCTCTTCCCAAATCAATAAATCTGTGAACCAAAGTTATGACTCCCTACAAGGGATCCCCTGGAATACTGACCACAGGTCCTCTGGCCCCTCTGACTATTCGCGTCTGAGGTATTCACACTTCAGCCCTCTCTCTGTGGTCTGACCTTGCTCTCCAGAAGCCAGGCTCTCCTCTCGTGTGCTGTCAGAGCCTTCAGCAGGCCTGGGTGCTTCCTCAGAGTGTGGGGGCAGGGATGGGAGATGGGGGTGGCATTTTCTGCAAGCTCACAGACCCCTCTCCATTCCTGGGGGACACTGCAAACCAGATGACAAGCTCTGGAGTGTGTCTCTTGGCCAGTGCCCATTTGTCTCTCTTCCCTGCCAGGTGGTGGCTTTCTCAAGACCCTGCCTCTTCTCAAGGGGGCTTCCTGGAGATGTGCACTTTAGGATCAGGATTGTGGAGATCTCCTGGGAAATCCAACAGTTTCTGACACTCCCACCGTGTTCTCACTGTGTGAACTTGGGCATGGTGTTAGGCTCTGCTTACAGAAAGACCCTGGGGGCCCACCCAGCCATATCTGTCCCCAGTGAGCCCAGATTTCCTGGCTCTGGGCTTAGCCACAGCCTCCTCTTCTCTTCTGCCATGAAGTCAGTCTCAAATTGCTGTCAGCTGCACTTAGGTGTAATTGTGAGTGGACAGGGCACCTTGCAGGCCCATCAGAAGCAGTGGTTCTAAACTTGGGTCTATGAAAGCCCCCAGAGGGTCCACAAACCCCCTCCTCAAAATTATATTTAAAATTTGAAGTGTGGGGGCCAGAGTTGTGGCATAGTGGGTTAAGCCGTCACCTGTAACACCAGCATCCCATATCAGAGTGTTGGTTAGAGTCCTGGATGCTCCGCTTTGAATCCAGCTCCATGCTGACATAGGTGGGAAAGCAGCAGAGGATGGCCCAAGTGCTTGGGCCCCTGCCACCCATGTGAGAGTGCCAGATGGAGTCCTGGACTCCTGACTTTGGCTGGATCCAGCCTTGGCTGCTGTAGCTATTTGGAGAGTCAACCAGGGATGGAAGAACTCTCTCTCTCTTCTTCACTCTGCCACTTGTGTCACTCTGCCTTTCAAATAAATAAAAATAAACCTTTAAAAACATTGAAGTGTAGGTTCATGTGTTGGTAATGGATCCATTGCTTTCATCATATGTTCAAAGGGATCTATGACCTACTGAAGTTTAGGAAACTTGGCTGTAAGATAAAATTCAAATGGCTTGGCTGGCGCTGCAGCTCAATAGGCTAATAATCCTCCACCTAGCGGCGCCAGCACACCAGGTTCTAGTCCCGGTCGGGGCGCCAGATTCTTTCCCGGTTGCCCCTCTTCCAGGCCAGCTCTCTGCTGTGGCCCAGGAAGGCAGTGGAGGATGGCCCAAGTGCTTGGGCCCTGCACCCCATGGGAGACCAGGAGAAGCACCTGGCTCCTGGCTTTGGATCAGCGCAGTGCGCTGGCCGCAGCATGCCAGCCATGTCGGCCATTGGAGGGTGAACCAACGACAAAAGGAAGACCTTTCTCTTGTCTCTCTCTCTGTCCACTCTACCTGTCAAAAAAAAAAAATTCAAATGGCTTTTCAAAATTCTCTGCCAGGACTGGCATTGTGGCACAGTGGGTAAAGATTCCAGCTGCAAAGCCAGCATCCCATATGGGTGCCGGTTTGAGTCTGGCTGCTCTACTTCCGATCCAGCTCCCTGCTAATGTGCTTGGGAAAGCAGCGGGAGATGACCCAAGTACTTAAGTACTTGGGCCCCTGCACCCATGTGGGAGACCTGGATGAAACCAGGCCCCCAACTTCAATCTAGCCCAGCCCTGGCCATCATGGCCATTTGGGGAATGAACCAGCAGAGGGAAGATTTCCCTGTCTCTCCCTCTCTCTCTCTCTGGTATTCTGCCTTTCAAGTAAATAAGACAAATCGTGAAAGAAAAAGAGAATTATCTGCCTTGTGAATCATCTTTGACTTTCCCTTATTAATACAGTTCCTATAAGTAGACAATATGATCCTTTTGGTGACAGAAATGTCCTTTGTTCCTCCCGGGCTCTGAGTCTCTCTCCTTCACTTCCTGTGCCACAGAAATACAGAGGGCACAGGTGCGGGCCCTCTTACTTTAGTGCAACTTGACGAGGTCACCCCTTGTCCCGAGAAACCACTTTCTAGAACTTCTTTTCCTTTAGCTTCTGAACGCATCCTTGGAAATTAATTTTGCTGCATAGAAGTGAAAGGAGATGGACTCTGATGAGTTCATCAAATACTGATGCTGAGTAGCACTGAGAAATCTGGGCAGCCACGACTGATTGAGAGGCAGTGCTACATCGGGGAGCCACCTGTCATTCTCTCGGACACATCCAAGCTGGTTCCAGCATTCAAAAACATTTCCGAGTCTCCTGGCTATTTATTTCTCTCACTTCAGAAAGACAGGTGTGGGATCTGATGCCAGCAGCAGGAAGATGATTTTTACTGGATTTGTCATCGTAATTCCTAATTCTTTCCCAACCCAATCTCTTTTACAGGGCAGCTTCTCACAGAGTCAGGCTGGCAAAGGTATGTCTGCAAGAGGCTCAGAGCACTGATTTGCGAAGCCCTGGGCAGGTTACGGCCAAGGCTGCAGCCCCAAGATCTTCTTCAAGTCCTGAGTCTGGTTCTCTCGTGAGGAGCCTGGGGCACGAGTCAGGATGGGCTGCTGTTTCAGGGACCCACGGTCCCACAAGTGGATGTTTCTTCCTGTGCCACCTATGGGGGAGACTGAACAGATGTGGACACATCTGGGTCCCCAAGTTTCATGAATTTACAAGGGGACTTCAAAAAGTTCATAGAAATATGGAATGCAAAGGTATGTTTATTGTAGTTCAGAAAAACTTTGAGATTTGTCTGTGGTCTTTTCATCATATGCATTTTCCATGAATATTTTGAAGACTCCTTGTAAATACAATTTCAAAATGTTCTGCACCCAAATAAGCTGTTTTTTTTTAAGATTTAATTTTTTTTAAAAGATTTATTTATATTTATTTGAAAGACCGAGTTACAGAGAGAGGTAGAGACAGAGAGAGAGGTCTTCCATCTGCTGGTTCACTCCCCAGATGCCCACAACGGCCAGAGCTGCACCGATCCGAAGCCAGGAGCCAGGAACTTCCTCTGGGTCTCCTATGTGGGTGCAGGGGCCCAAGCACTTGGGCCATCTTCTACTGCTATCCCAGGCTATAGCAGAGAGCTGGATTGGAAGAGGAGCAGCCGGAACTAGAACCGGCACCCATATGGGATGCTGGCGCCTCAGGTCAGGGCTTTAACTTGCTGCGCCACAGCGCCAGCCACTAAGCTGATCTTTTCATTTCATTTCCATGATCTTTGGGAAGCTTTCTCGTATCATCTCCATTTGCCAGGAGGAAGTGAAGACTTTTATTTATCTTTTTGGAGAGCTGGGGGTGGACTGAAAGAGTTCAAATGGGCGCCTAGGCAAATCTATAGCGGTCCAAATGTCTGCTCCTGAAAGTTGTTCGCTCCCTGGCTTCTGCCCCCAGCGAGGTCTCCATCCTCTCTGGGCTGGCCCTGTAAGAAGTGCTTAAGGAAGTCCTGCACCAGAAGCACAGATAACCACCATCACAAAAATACAGGGGGACGTGGACCTCAGCATGACTGCAGATATGCAAAGGAGAAAGCAGAGTAATCGGAGAATTCCCATTTTATCATTTTTCTTGGATTTGATTTTCTGAGTATTCAAAGATTTTCTTCACCTGTATTAATTATGACTCAAGCTCCATGATTTTTCTTTCTAATATTCGTTGGGTTTTGATATCAAAGTTATATTGGTCTCTTTGCATGAGTTAGAAAGCATTCACTCCCTTTCTGTTTTCAAGGACATATTACTGGCTATGATTTCTTTTTAAATGTTTAGCAGAACTCACCAGTTTCATTGTTTTCTCTGGGGGAAGGTTTTGAAAATTAGTTTCTTAGATATATAAAATGCTATTACAATATTTTTTCTTTCCATGCTAGTTTTCTGAATCTGTGTTTTTGGAGTAGTATGCACATGTCACCTAAGTTGCCAAAATTGCTGGCACAATATTGTTTTACATCCTTAAGAAAAATAAAAGAACTAACCTACAATCCAGCAATCCCACTCCTGGGCTTGTATCCACAGGTATGAAATCAGTCTGTGAGAGACACTTGTGCCTCATGATTACTGCCCCCGAGTACTCAGGAAAGCCAAGCTAAGGCCCCACCCTAAGTGTTTATTGACAGATAAATGGATAAAGAAAATCTAAACACAAAGGAATACCATGTAGCCTTTAAAAAAGTGAAAGTTGCATCATTCGCAACAATATGGATGAACCTAGAGGATATTAAGTTACAGAAGGAAAACTGCTACATGGTCTCACTCAGGTGGACTCTCAAAAAGTCAGTCTCATCTCAAAGAAGCCGAGTGTGGAACCATGATGATCAGAGGCACGGGTGGTAGTGCAGGGAGAACGGGCAGAGGTCAGTGGGCGGGTAGATGTTATAGTCAGATACCTGGCATCCTATTGCAGAGAAGGAGGACTGTAGTCATAACAATGTATTGGATATTTCAAAATAATTAGCAGAGGATTGGTAGTGTTCTTACCACAATGAAATGATAAATGTTTGAAGTGGTGGATATTCTAAATACTCCAGTTTGATCATTATGCAATGATACAAGATCAAAAATCCAACTGGGGGCCAGCATTGTGGCATAGCAGGTAAAGCTGCTGCCTGTGATGCTGGCACCCCATATGTGTCTTAATTTATGTTCCAGCTGCTCCACTTCCAATCCAGCTCCCTGATAGTGGCCTGGGAAAAGCAGTGGAAAATGGCCTAAGTTTTGGGCCTCTGCCACCCATCTGAGAGACCAAGAAGAAGCTCGAGGCTTGTGGCCATTTGGGGAGTGAACAAGTGGATGGAAGCTCGCTCTCTCTCTGTCCCTCTGTCTCTCTGTCTATCTTTAACTCTGACTTCCAAATAAATAAATACATCTTTAAAAAACCAAATTGTACTCTATAAATATGTATAATTACATGTCAATCAAAAAGTAAAAATTTGGGGAAGGTATTTGGCACTTGATTAAGACATTGCCTGGGACACCTGCATCCCATATAGAACCCAGGTCTGAGTCCTGACTCCACTTCTGATCTCAGCTTCCTGCCCCTGCACACTGGGGAGGCAGCAGGAGATGGCTCATGTAATTAGGTCTCTAATATGCACGTGGAAGACTCAGATCGGGTTCCCATTTCCAGGCTCAGCCCTGGCTGTTACAAGCATTTGGGGAGTGACCCAGGGGGTTGAAGTGCTCTCTCTCTTTCTCTTTGCCTCTTTCTCTCATCTCTCACTCTCTCTGCCTTTCAAATTTAAAAAAAAAAAAATGACAAATTTAAAACAGAATGCCAAGGTATAAAAACATTTACTATGTGATCAGGAAATTGAATACACCACCTCATCTTTTCAGAGTTACTCCTGTTACACATTTTCCAGAAACATATACACAGTTTGCATGTGTGTCACCTGGCCGTGGTCACATGGCCAGTGAGTGGCAGAGCCAAGGGAGCAACCTGGGCTGCTGACCCTCCGAGTCCCAGACAGTCTGCTCTCAAGCTTGGAGTCAAACACCAAACTTCCCAGCTACCCCTTCTCCCCACTTGTTAAGTCGCCACAGCTAGGGACGGGGCTGTGTTGGAGGCGCCTCTGTGGTGCAGGTCTCCTAACTCAGGTGCTAACTGCTCCTTCCTTATGCAGGTGCTCAGTGACGGTGGCTTTCACGTCTTGTCTGTTGACTACAGAGGTACGTGCTAAGAAAACTGCATGGATTTGTTTTCTGTAATTGGCTGGAGGCTATGGAAGACCCCTTTCTTTGGAGATAGTGGTAATGCATTGGCATTTTCTTGCTGCCAGGGTTTGGAGACTCTACAGGGAAGCCCACAGAGGAGGGACTGACTGTGGATGCCATCTGTGTCTACGAGTGGACCAAGGCAAGAAGTGGCATGACCCCCGTGTGTCTCTGGGGCCACTCGCTGGGTACAGGGTGAGTGAGCCATGAAGGTGGGTTCTTCAGGGGAGGGTCCTTGGGGCTGGAGTGTGTATCAAAGGCAGCAGCCAGCAGTGGGAGGAGCACTGGGCTGGGAGACAGTCACTCTTCTCCGGCCCCTCTCGCACTCCGGAAGTGTCCAGAAAGCTTGCCATGTCGGTGTCACTTTCAAGTCTGTAGTTACCTGTGACACTGAAGTCTGTGCTGAAACACTCCTTGAGAGTTTTAAAGGAAAGGGAGCTTAATGGATGTTCTGTGGAACCTCTTGAAATCCGGTGCATAATTTTGCGTGTATATGCATTTTCTACCCAGAGCGCCCAGAGCTTTTACCCAATGCACGTTCTGCATGTTCCATGCTGCACTGCTTACCTGACTGTTTCAGTTCTTGCTTCACATCTATGCCAATCTTCATTGCTTTACAGAGTTGCCACAAATGCTGCAAAAGTATTAGAAGAGAAAGGTAATACAAAATCCTTCAATGGTATCCTCTTTTGGCTTCAGTGGGAAAATATAAACAGTGTGTACACTGGTACCCAAAGCATCCCAACTGGACAGAGAGAGGTCTTCCATTTGCTGGTTCACTCCCCAAATGGCTGCTACAGTCAGGGCTGGGATGGTCCAAAGCCAGGAGCCAGGAGCTTCTTCTGGGTCTCCCATGTAGGTGCAGGTGCACTTGGGCTGTCCTCTGGTGCTTTCCAAAGATCACTGGCAGGAGTAGGAAGTGGAGCAGCCCGTACTTGGAACAGCACCTGTATGGGATGCTGGAATTGCAGGCAGCGGCTTTATCTGCTAAGCTACCATGCCAGTTCCTGTATATCATATTGATATCAATGTTTCTCAAAATGATCTGACAACTGCCTGTATCAGAATCTACTGGGGCAATAGTTAAAAATGTAGGTCCTCTGGATCCCAGCTGGTTTCATGAATGAGACTCTGTGATTTGGGCCAGATAATTTTTTTAGATAAAAAAATTAGAATTCACTCCATATACAGAGATGGTAGAAAAATATAAAAGTTCATTACACCAGTGCCATAGAATTTTATAATTCCAAAGCCAGTTATCTGCTGGGCTTTGTGTTGGGGGTGTAGCTGTATTTTCGTATGTGTGGTTACTTTGGACTGTGCAGTGCATCTGACACATGGCGGCATGATCTTCTTTTACAAATAACTCGCTTTTCTTCCGGCAGGCAGTTACGGCAGAGACAGCTCACCTTAATCCAATCAGAGACTGACTTGCTCTGTAGCTGGGCTTCGGTCTCTATGAGGCAGGTGTGCTTCTGGCTCACCAGTACCCCTAGTGTGAAGTCCTTCGAGGCTGTGACCAAAAGCCGCTCGTGTACCAGGGTCCTCCCTTGTCCGACCTTGAACTCTTATTTCTGTCCTTTAGATTCTGTGAGAAAGTTCCAAGTCTCACCGAGGTCTACTCCTCTCTGCCATCACCATTGCTTTCAGGGCTTCCAGTGCTTGGGAGGGAGGGGCAGATCGAACTCTGAGCTTTGTCTCTTAGCTCTGCAATTCTGGATCGGTAGCCCCCACATGCCTCCAAACATAGCCATATATGCATGCATGTCTCATACATGTACATGTATGGACCGAGCTGTGCTCTGCTACATCCTTTTTTTTTTTTTTTTTAAAGATTTATTTATTTTACTTGAAAGGGTTACACAGAGAGAAAAGAAGAGGCAGAGAGGGAGGTCTTCCATCTGTTGGTTCTCTCCCCAATTGGCTGCAATGGCTGGAGTTGTGCCGATCCAAAGCCAGGAGCCAGGAGCTTCTTCCGGGTCTCCCACATGCGTGCAGGGGCCCAAGGATTTGGGCCATCCTCTACTGCTTTTCCAGGCCACACCAGAGAGCTGGATTGGAAGAGGAACAGCCGGGACCTGAACTGGCACCCATATGGGATGCCGGCACTGCAGGCAGCAACTTTACCCTCTATGCCACAGTGCTGCCCCCACTCTGCTACATCCTTAACAAAGGTCTTTAGACCCTTCCTTCCTCCTGTATTCTTTTGTTTAGCTTATCCAAGCCATGAAAATCTGGCTGTGTTCTTAGATGAAGGTAGTAGTTTTGGGGGTGGGTGTTCTGCACAGCAGTTAAGCTGCTGCTTGCGATGCGCACATCCCATACTGGAGAGCCTGGGTTTGAGTCCCAGGCTCTGATTCCAATTCCAGCTTCCTGCCAATGCACACTCTTGAAGGCAATAGGTGATGGCTCAAATATTCAGGTCCCTGCTACCCACATGGACCTAGATGGAGTTCCTGGCTCCTAGCTCCAGGCTGGCCCAGCCCCAGCAGCTGTCTGCATTTAGAAACCAAACTAGCAGATGGAAGATGTCTCTGTCTCTCCCTTTGTCTCTCTCTCTCTCTCTCTCAGCCTTTCAAATAAAATAACTTTTTTAAAAAAAGAAAAACAAGGTGGTAATGTTTTCAACCATTATATGTATAAGAAGCTTGTTAACAAGGCACATTCTCAGCCTCACCCCGAAGATTCAGAGTCACCTGTATGGTGTGGGGCCCTGGAATTTACATGGTTTATAAACTTCATGAATGATGTTCATTCAGATAACACATGTGCAAAACCTAAAGGACCCCTTGTTTAAGGAAGAAGATTTTGACTAAGGAAGTTACTGATTTTTAAAAATGTTATTATTTTTAAGGATGCCCAGTTGATGCCATTGTCTTGGAAGCTCCATTTACCAACATGTGGGTTGCATGCATCAATTATCCCTTGTTAATGGTGAGTTTCTGATTCATTGTTGCAAGACATCAAAGTATACACTACTTCCCCACATGTTCTGTTATTAATTACCTTCTTTTTCTCAACTAGTTCTATATGTTCCTAACTCATTCTAACCTGAGACAGTGCAATAACCTGTTACAATTAAAGAGAAGATACTATGGCTTTGGATTTGGTAGTTCTATGATTTTCTTCTAACAGAATAGGTAACTTACTATGGGTGAAAGCTTTATCTACTTATTTTTAAAATTTTATTTGAAAGGCAGAGTTACAGGGTGGGAGATGGGGGAGGGGGAAGAGAGAGAAATCCTCCATCCACTGGTTCACTGCCCAAATGGCTGCAACTGCCAGGGCTGGCTATGCCAAAGTCAGAACCTGCAGCTCCATCCTGGTCTCCCATGTGGGTGCAGGGACCCAGGGACTTGGGCCATTTTCTACTGCCTTTCCAGATGCACTAGCAGGGAGCTGGATCTGAAGTGGACCAGTTGGGACTCCAGCTGGCACTCACAGGGGATGCTGGCGTCCTAGCTTCACATGCACCACAATGCTGGCCCCGAAAGCCTTTTTTCTAAAAAAATATTTTTTTTCCAAAGCAACTTTACTACTTTATTCTTCTACCCAGTATGTGAGTTTGGTTGCTTCATATGCTTGTTTTCCTACTGATAGGTCATAGTAGTTTTAATTTGTGCTTCCCTGATGACTAATGAGGTGAGGCAATTTTGCTTGAGTATCATCACTTATGAGGTATTATTTCATGGCTTTTGCCCATTTTTCCATTGAATTTAAATTTTTTTTTTAGAAATTCTTAATAGATGCTGGACGTGAGTCATTAAAAATTTTTGGTATTGTAAATACATCCTATTATTTGGATTTGTATTTTTACTCTCAAAATGATTTATCATACTGCAAGGTGCTCCTAAATTTGAGGCAGACCAGTTTACCAGCATTCTTGTTTATGTTAGTTCTGTCAACTTTTTGTTGTAGATTTTCTGAGGTTCCATTATTAGGAGGTATATGCCTAATAATTTAATGATGTAGCTTTTATATCTTCCAGGTGGGGATTTATCCTTTTTTCATTATGAAATTTCTTCCCTTTGTGAATAGTGGTTCTGGAATGAAAGTCAGCATTGCCCAACATTAGCCAATCTTCTAGATGTCTGTGTGGTTTATCTTTTTCTACTCCTTGAGTCTCATCTTTTTTGAATTCTTACATCTAATGCATATATCTAATAAAAACCAGATGGTAGAGTTTTGATTGCTTTTCCAGGATGGGAGACTTGGGCTAATAACTGCAGTAATTGCTCTGTTTATATTTAACCTACTTTCTTCTTTTCCATCCATGTCATCTGTGTTCTCTCACTTTACCCTTCTGCTCTCTGACTCGGCAGCCTTGTCCCATGGAGGACAGCGCCGAGGGGTGGGCTAACCCCTCTGCTCTTCCCTTCTTTTTGGAAGGAGTTCTCTCAAGACATCGCTGCATGGGCAGGTGTCTGATGAGTTCAAAAGAGTTTAAAAAAATTTTCCCCCAGTGTTTCTAGTTATCTTGGGCACAAGGCTTAATCTCTAACTATCCTTCTATTATAAGAGTTTGGAATTTAATAATTAATACATACAGGTGCTCCTCAAGTTACTATTGGTTATATCCTACTGCAAGTTGAAAACACCCCAAATCAAACTCTAGTACAAGGAGAAGTTTCAAAAAGTTCAGAGAAAATGTGTATTATGAACAAACATGTATGGGTTTCATTGTTTCTGTTCCAAAGCAGACTTACTGTTTAATTCCATTTTCCATGAACTTCTCTAAAGCACCCTGGTACACCTAGCCTGGTACACCCATCTGAGCCACACAGCACACACAGGGATGGGAGACTTTTTTCAGCCAAGTGCCATTTGGATATTTATAACATCACTCGTGAGCCATACAAAATTATCAACTTAAAAATCAGCCTGCTGTAGATTAAACTGAATTCCGAGCCCTGCCTGCAGCTGCCTTGGCAGGGCCAGAGCAAAGGGCTTCGTGGGCTCACACTGGTCATTCCCCACCCCTGTGTGTACAGCATTAGTGGTTTCCCCTTATGACTCCACAAGGCTGAGAGCCACAGCTGGCTGCCACCACCCCGCCGAACAAGACAGTACTGTGCTAAGTATCTCCAGCCCAGGAAAACACGACATTCACAATTTGAAGTACTTACAGTTTCCACTGTATGTGCATGGCTTTTGCACCATTGTAAAGCTGAAATTCTCTGCACATCATTGGGAACCTGCTGTAGTTCAAGGCCTTCTCCAGTCTGGAAGTGTCATAGTCCTGGAGTGTGGCATGGTCTTTGGGAAAAATGGCTCTGGCGTCTTACTTTCTGCGTTTGATTTCCAGGGCTGGCACATAGCAGCTGTGTCACCTGTTACTAATTGCTTTTAGTGCTTCTACTGCCTCATCTAGAAAGTGGAGTAATTGCAGTCTATTTGAGATTGCTGTGATAGCTAAATTAATGAAAAGCACCCACAGCAGTGCCTGGCCTGCAGGAAGCACTCAGTGCAGTTCAGCTGTTTTTCTCTGGGATGCAACTCTGATCATTAAGGTTGCATGAGGCCGGCGCTGCAGCTCACTAGGCTAATCCTCCGCCTTGCGGCGCTGTCACACTGGGTTCTAGTCCCGGTCGGAGCGCCGGATTCTGTCCCGGTTGCCCCTCTTCCAGGCCAGCTCTCTGCTATGGCCCGGGAGTGCAGTGGAGGATGGCCCAAGTGCTTGGGCCCTGCACCCCATGGGAGACCAGGAGAAGCACCTGGCTTCTGCCTTCAGATCAGCGCGGTGTGCTGGCCGCAGCACGCAGGCTGTGGTGGCCATTGGAGGGTGAACCAACGGCAAAAAGGAAGACCTTTCTCTCTGTCTCTCTCTCTCACTGTCCACTCTGCCTGTCAAAAAATTAAAAAAAAAAAAAGGTTGCATGAGAGACTGTGAGGCTGGGAGCAGTAAGGATGTAGTAAAAGGCTGGGGTCCCAAGCTAAAGGCATCTTCTGCTTGTTTGGAGACATGGAAAGTAAGTGGGAGACATAAAGCATCATCAGAGGTTTTCCCAGGGCATCTTGGGAAGAACTTGGTTACTCAGAACAGGAAGGCAGCCTGATATAGTGGGAAAAGAACCCGGGCTGGGAAACAAGACAGATTTGGGGTGCAACCCAGCCTCTGCCACCAGCCCTGTAGGACCCTGGTAAGTGGTTTCCCTTCTCTGAATGACCCCATGTTTTGCACTGGCGTTGACAATGGCTGGTGCCTGGTGTTGTGCAGGTGGAATTAAGATAACGTGGGACCCAGTAGGTACTCACACACAGTACTTGCTCCTATTGCCCTCTCTCTGTGTTATGAAACACAAGGGAGGGGTTGGGGAGGACCTAGGACCATCCTTTCAGGGCTGAGCTCAGGCATGCACGCAGGTGTTGTATGTGATAGAAACTGCGCGAGGGGCAATTTCAAGTTTCCGTAAAGGTCCACCACCCTCGCTGTCCTCTAAGGAGTCTGGCATCACTGAGTTCGCTTAGAGATGGGGCAACCGAGGCTTAGAGGCTTGCGCGATTGGCACCTCCCTCCGTGCTGGGTCTCCTAAGCTCAGGCACACAGCCTGGGCAGCAGCGGCTTGGCCGCGAAAGCCCGGCCAGGTGGGGATGAGCGCCCGTGAAGCTGGGAGTTGTTGTCTTGAGCAGATGGCTGGGGCCTTCCCAAAGCAGCAGCAGAGTTCCTACAGCTGGTACTTGGAGTTGGTATCTGGTGGTGTTCCAGGAGAGAGAGGAAGGCAGGAGCCCGCGGCCGTGCGCTGGCCCCGGTGGTGGGGGATGGCGTGACTCTGGAGAGAGCGTGGAGTGACGAGTGGGCTGATTTGCCTCCGCGCGCTTTTTCACGATTTCACACGGTCGCCACCGCGGGCCTCTCGGTGACGTGTCCTCAGAGGAGTTGTTATGACAGGTGTGGGGAAATCAAAGTCGAGAAAAAGAGAAAAGCAACCAAGACACGTGGCCCTTGGCGTAGGAGAGGAAGGAGGAGAAAGAAGGAGGAGAGGCCGTGTGGGGACCATGTGACCGCGGTCGAAGGCGTGTCCTCCAGGGGGACGGGCGAGGTCCCCGAAGCCAGCCCAGCCCGAGGGAAGCGGAAGGAGGCAGTAGCGGGGCCAGCCCACCTGGCTTGCCTGCAGTTTCTTCCCAAACTCCCTGCAAGGTCGTGAATGCCTTTTTAAAGCCAGAAAAAAGTTTTCAAAATCTTCATTATGTTTGGAGAGCCCCCATGTCCCAGTTCTTTGTATGTCTACGGTTCACAGAGGGAAGCTGTAACAAATGACATGATGACTATAGGGCAAGTTTCAATGCTTTTTCTTTGTAAAAAATTAAGCAGAAGTTGGTATTGATGGGCCTCAGCAGACCCATTCTGTGCCATTCCCTTCCCTTGGCAAAGACCCATCTTCTGGCCTGTACCTCCTTCACTCCTCTGTGCATGGAAGTCCACCGCAAAGTCCTGTAATGCTTTGCTGCTCTTTGCAAACTTTATTAAATCTGAAATGTAATTAATAGGATGTTTTTAGGGTGTATGAACTCAATTATTGATTGCAAAATATTGGGAAGGTGGACTTAGCCTTCTATATACTGCAATTTTCCATGGAAGAAGAAATTCAGAATGTTTTGAATGATAATTGCTAAATTTTGAGACCTATGGTCATTGTTAAAACCTAAAATGTTTTCTAAAACACTATAATACTAAAATCATATTTAAAAGTGTATAATGTTCAAGCCCTCTAAAACTAATTCTCCATGCATTGCATACTTTAGCCAGAAATTTTGTCTAATCAGAATAGTCTATCCCTCAACTCAACTAGTCAGTCATGTTCATGGCAGAAGCAATGTTTAGATTTTGTTGAACACTGCTCTCTTTTGAGTACTTTTATTTATATTATTATTATTATTTTGACAGGCAGAGTGGACAGAGAGAGAGACAAAGAGAAAGGTCTTCCTTTGCCATTGGTTCACCCTCCAATGGCCGCCGCGGCTGGCACACTGTGCTGATCTGATGGCAGGAGCCAGGTACTTATCCTGGTCTCCCATGGGGTGCGGGGCCCAAGCACTTGGGCCATCCTCCACTGCACTTCCTGGCCACAGCAGAGAGCTGGCCTGGAAGAGGGGCAACCGGGACTAGAACCCAGTGTGCCGGCGCCGCAAGGAGGAGGGTTAGCCTAGTGAACCACAGCGCCGGCTATATTATTATTTATATTTAAACATTTATTTGCAAGGCCATTTGAATTTTTTTTAAAAGGACAGGATATATAAACAACATCTTTACAGTTGTTTTCTGTGAAGGTAGGCTACGTATGACTTATTTCCCCTTCATTCCTTTTTTTCCCCAAATTCTCTATGATAACATAAATTACTATTTAAAATCATAAAAGTTGTATTTAGATTTATTATATTTCTATGCTACGCTGGTTCATAGTGGTTGACTATATCTAATGGCATAGCTATGGGGCAAGTATTAGTCACCGTTTTCTTTCTACAAACTAGATCTGCCGGAAGTTTCCACGATGTTCACGTGCACTCATGGATGCCATGAAGAGAGACAGAATAGTCTTCCCCAGTGATGAAAAGTAAGTCAGCGCTGACAAGGTGACATCACGTAGAGGGGCCTGGCCGACCAGCCTGGGGTTGACTGGGAGACGAGCAATCTGAATACCGTTCTCATCTTTCTTAGAATATCGTTCCATCACTCTTACATGGGTCCTCGGGTCTGGAAGAGGCTATCTATGAATTTCTGTTACTTGCTGTTTTCTTCATTTGTAATCCAGGGACTTCCACAGTTCAGTGCTCTCTGAAGTCCCACGGGCAGCTGTGTGTCTAGGGCCTGTCGGGACCTTGGGAAGGTCCTCCAGGGCCTGGTTTAACACGCCTGGGGGACCCCTCACTTCTAGGCGTTATTCCCTGTGGAACAAACACTCATCCCCTCCTGCGGCTATCCTGACAGTGAACGTGGAAAATTTAAGAATGCTTTCAAATGGGCAGTTGTTGTCAGTATGCTGCCTTCACCACACTTGAGGGAATCCTGTGTGCTCAGGAGTCACTGTGGCAGGGATGCATGTTGGAATTTGGGAAGGCCAGGGAGGGATGGCTTGAGAAAGTTCTGGAGTGGGAGACAAGACATTCTACCTCCTGCAGCCGCTCTGAATTACCAGGCTGGGAGGTTGACCAGGAAGCCGATCAAACCTGCTCCCTGCGCATCCCTCCTGCACATTTGTGGGGAAAGGGAAATGCATTGCTGCAAAGAGGCCACTTTGGTTCTGTGGCAGTTTCTGTTGTGTTGAATGATTTATAGTCTGCTCATGAAAATGTTTCAGTATTACGAAACAACGTAGAATAGAGAAGATGCGGTTTTTGTAACACGGTACGGATTCCGTGTCTCAGTGTTTCTTCCCCAAAATCACATAGAAGGACATTTCATTAAACTGTGTGAGCACCTGGAAGCCAAGGGCGCCTTGCCTGGGGAATCAAAAGGTTCCCACGGAAGCTATTATGCTTCGCAAGGAAGCCAGGCGACCTCTGGCGTTGGGGGCAAGCCCGCCGCGACACGGTGCGGGATTCCGGAACTGAAGGCTCTCCTTCCACCTGTCCCCAGTGTCAAGTTCCTGTCCTCCCCGCTGCTCATCCTACACGGAGAGGACGACAGGACGGTGCCTCTGGAGTGTGGGAAGAAGGTAAACGGAGAGCCCGGCACCACCCCCACAGCGGGCCGTGCTCGCTTCGCTGTCGGCCACTCAGCGGCACTGGGGTCTGACGTTCCAGGCGTCCCCAGGGCCCTGACTCAGCACCCTGCCTGGCTTACACAGCAAGCCACCGTGTCCTTGGCTAGTCAGCTCAAAGGCCCGTGTGTGCCAGGGCCCGGTTCCTCCATGGGGTCGCGGGCTGTTGTGGGAACCTCCAGGCAGGCGGTGTCTGTTACAGCAGTTCTAAAATCAGAGCGGCCCCTGGCCTGGTGGTTGGAACGCGCACGCCCCCTGCCGGATGCCTGGCTCGACTCCCGACTCCAGCCTCCTGCTATGCGGGCTCTGCGAGCTGCAGCTGATGGCTCAGTAGCTGGGTTCCTGCTTCTCTTCTGGGTGACCTGGGTTGAGTTTCCGGCTCCCAGCTCGGCAGAGGCCCTGATGCTCTGAGCATCCGAGGAGCGAACCAGTGAGTGGGAGCTCTGTCTGTCTCTGTCGCTTTTCTGAAATGTCAAAGGAACGCGGTGGATGTGGGGCTTTGCTGTCTGCACATCTCTGCGGGAGTGGGGTCCACAGTAACCTCTTGTGCCTCCGCAGGGCGCTGCTGGTGAGGAGGGCGAGGTTAATCCGTGTTCCCTTCCAGGGAGAAAACCCTTGGCTTTGACTCGCCAGCCTCTGAGAACCTGTCTTCCTGTCTCGTGCAGCTCTATGAAATCGCACACACAGCATACCGGAACAAAGAGAGGGTCAAGATGGTTATCTTTCCTCCCGGCTTCCACCACAACCTCCTTTGTAAAAGCCCCCTCCTGATAATGACCGTGAGGTAAGAGTGGCTGTGCTGAATGTCAGTATCCTCTCCTCCAGGTTTACTGAGCCCTGGAGGTGGGGAAAGGGTGCGAGCTGACCTTGGTGCCTTCTCTGCAGGGATTTCCTGAGCAAGCAGTGGGCCTGAGGGCTGGAACCGGCAGGAAGACTTGGTCCCAGCGCCACCTGTGATGTGCGTTATTTTCGTGCAAGGCCATTTGGATGAGCTGAAGCCATCTGCCATTTCAATAAGGCAGGCGTGGGTGCTGGGTGGATGGGATGTCCTCACTTAGCTCTGCTGTGTGAAGTGTGCAAAACGTCCGAGTGGGGAATAAGAACTTGGTAGAATGTGGATGTCATCTGTGTAGTGATCCAAGATCCCGGGGATGCTATGCATAAGGTGGAAGCCGTGGCTGGAATGTCCGTGTCTGTCCCAGAATTCCTGTGTTGAAGCCCAACCGGCAGTGTGATGGTCTTAGGAGCCGAGCCTTTTGGGGTGGGTGTTAGGTCACAGGGCTGAGCGCACATGGGTGGGGCTGGTGCCCTTACAAGACAGGCCTAAGTCAGTCCCTTACCTCTTCCACTGTGTGAGGACACAGGAGAAGGCGCCATCTGTGAATCAGGATGTAGCCCCTACGACACTCGGAATCTGCCAGCGCCTTGCTCTTGGACATCACAACCTCCAAAAATCGTACTGTCGGGTTAGGACATTTCCCTACCTCGGCCTGAATGGATTAAGACAGTGATCCCAGCTTTGGACTTAGATAGCAGTGGGAGAAAGGTGTTCTGATGTAGCTAAAGGATTTGTATTTGAGCTTAGTTCATGTAAAGGGTCTTAAAACGTCCCAAGTAAGTGTCTAGTTTTCTGATTAGTTTTGAGGGAAGTCCTAGGGGGCTACTGATTTGCTCTAAAATAATGGTTTGTCACTCACATGGCCCCTGGAAATTGATACTTTATTATCAGCCCTATTATCCTTTTCTTCCTCTTCCCTTAACTAGATCATTAGCTAACAAAAGAAAACGAAATCAGTGAATGTTGTAAAAATCTTCACATTCAGTTAAGAAGCTGTGTTTCCTAGAGACAGTTTCCAAGTCAATTCCCATTAGCTGCGTTCAGGCCACTGCTAGGTTCACTGGCTAAGGAAATCTTGAGATCTGAAGGCTCCATGTCCCAGATGTCCCTGGCGTACTCCTTAATGGTGCGGTCGCTGGAGAATTTCCCCGAGGCAGCGATGTTTCGGAGTACCATGGTGTTCCAGGCCTTTGGGTTCTGTAAACAGCAAATACAAGACAGACATCAAACCACACCCAAGCACCAAGCGCCTTTCGCAGGGAGGTGGGAAGGAACCAGGAAGCTGCAGCGAGTTATGGGCACACTGGCTCCACAGCCGAGAGCTTAGGTGGGAAAGACTGCTTCTCTCATCCTCAGAATATACTTCTCTTGGGAATGAAAGAAAGGACTGTCCATTAAACGAGAAGGCACGGGTGTGAATTCTCCAGGTATTCACTGCTGCAGTGATTCCAGTGTTGTGACAGCTCAGCCATGTTTCCCATGCTTCAGTCGGAGTGAAGGTACCTGCCTATACACCAGGGATGGGGGCATCCAGCCGCAGCTGTATAAGGACCATGGAATCATTTGGTCTGGCCCTGCAAGGCAGCAGTAGGTGGGGCTTGAAGTATGGTGGGCTACTGTTCAGCTGACAAATTTGAATGGCTCATCAATATCCAAATGGCCCTTGGCAGAAAAGCAGGTTGCCCACCCTTGCTCCATGGGGAAGGAGGAAACCAACATTCATTGTGGGCTGGGTACCATGTCAAGAGACTGAACCTGTGGCTCACAAGGTGGGAAAAGCGCTGCTCTGCCCCGAGTTACAATGCAGGCAGACAGGCAGCGAGAGCTCCGCCGACTGCTCAGCTTTGCTCGTGCTTCCTCAAGTACCTGTCCTGGTACGTTCACACTAGGTCTCAGAGTCTCCACTGCGGTTTCAAAACAGGGGCACTGAGGGCTTTATCCTTAAAAGAAATGATCATCTCAAAATCTCATAACTTTATGTAAAAGAATATAAGAAACTTTTATAGTCTTATGATTTTTGTAAAGGACTTTAAAAGTTTATTGGGAACAATCAGGACATTATCCAAAGCCATTAGGAAAGCATTTAAGAGAATGACTAAAATTACCATCATTCTTTAAGGTTTTGCAAAACAGTCTTGAAATTAGTTCATTCAGATTTGGAAACTTAGTATAATGAGAAGAGAATAAAAGTTTCCTCTCCTCATGTTCTGTAACTGGTTAAGTGGAGAATGCATGAAGTTCCCAGCCGTGTGGGTCACGTTTATGAAGCCTCAACAATACACTTACTGTGCAGAGCAAAGACTGCAGTGTGCATCAGTGAGTGGGAAAACGTGATGCCACACTGGGCTTCAGGATGGGCTTCCTCAGATCTGGGCCCTAATCTCACAGAGGACACCCCCTGCACTAAGCTGACACTGCCAGCCTTCCTTCCCTAGTGCACAGTTCCCTTCCCTGGTCTGGTTTTCTTTCTTGACATTGTCTATATTTCTTGCTATTCTTTTTCCTCTGTCTCTGTGGCTGCTCTCTCCAGTGTTCAGAAAACAGGCAGTGAGCCATTTATTAACTGCCATGAACTTGAACTTACTGTGATCCATGTGCTGTTAAGGGACTGCGTATGAGTCTACCGGAAGTGTTGTAGTCAGCACAGGTTTTTAAAATGAGATTTATTTATTTTATTTGAAAGGCAGAATGAGAGAGAGAGAGAGAAAGAGAGAAAGAGAGAAAGAGAGAGAGAAAGAGAGAGAAAGAGAGAAATAGAGAAAGAGAAAGAGAAAGAGAGAGAAAAAGAGAGAAAGAGAGAAAGAAAGAGAGAAAGAAAGAGAAAGAGAAAGAAAGAGAGAAAGAGAAAGAGAGAAAGAGAAAGAGAGAGAGAATGAATATCTACTCTCCACTGGTGGACTCCTCAAATGGCCAAAACATTTGGGACTGGGCCAGGCTGAAGTCAGGAGCCTGGAACTCCATCTAGGTCTCCTATGTGGATGGCAGGGACCAAAGCACCAGGGCCATCTTCTGCTGCCTTCCCAGGTGCATTAGTAGGGAGCTGGATCAGAAGGGGAGTGCACCTGATACTTGAACTGGTGCTCTGTTATGGGGTATCGGTGTTGCAAGCAGTGGCTTAGCCTGCTGCTCCACAGTGCCACCCCCAGCATAGGTCTTTAATGATCCTATTTTAAACCCCCAATGGGACATTGGGATGACTCTAAGAACCACCCTGTCTGGGCCGGTGCTATGGGGCAGTAGGTTAAGCTTCTGCCTGTAGTGGCAGCACCACATATGGGCTTCTGCCTGTGGTGGCAGCACCACATATGGATTTGTGTCCCAGCTACTCCTCTTTTGATCCAGCTCTCTGCTATGGCCTGGGAAAGCAATGGAGGACAGCCCAGTGCTTGTGCCCCTGCACCTGCATGGGAGACCCAGAAGAGGCTCCTGGATCCTGGTTTCGGATCAGCACAGCTCCTGCGGTTACTACCATTTGGGGAGTGAACCAGTGGATGGAAGACCTCTCTCTCTGTCTCTCCCTCTCTCTGTAACTTTGTATCTAATAAGTAAATAAAACTTTAAACAACAATAACAACAAAGAACCACCCTGTCACAGGAAAGAAATAGAAAGAAATGTTAGTGAGCTCGTGGAGTCTAACTTCCTCCTGAATCTGTTGCTTTGGCATAGCTGAAATTCACTAAAAGCCTCTGCCCACAGAGCCGACCAGCCTGTGCGCGTGTTTACCAGACCCACGTAGACGGCTATTTGATGGAGGTGCGTATGTGCATGTGAAGGCTGACTCACGTGGATCTAGACTGCTGTTTTTCTGGTAACCTACCTTCCTTCCTTCCTTCCTTCCTTCCTTCCTTCCTTCCTTCCCTCCTTCCTTTCTCTCTCTCTCTCTTTCTCTCTCTCTCTCTTTCTTTCTTTCTAAGATTTATTTATTTACTTGAAAGTCAGAGTTACACAGAGAGAGGATAGGCAGAGAAAGAGAAAGAGAGAGAGAGAAAGAGGGAGAGAGGTCTTCCATCTACTGGTTCACTCCCCAGTTGGCTGCAATGGCCAGAGCTGTGCCAATCTGAAGCCAGGAGCCAGGAGCTTCCTCCAGGTCACCCACACAGGTGCAGAGACCCATGGACTTGGGCCATCCTCTACTGCTTCCCCAGGCCAAAGTAGAGAGCTAGATTGGAAGTGGAGCAGCCAGGACTCGAATTGGCGCCCTTATGGGATGTTGGCACTGTAGGTGGCAGCTTTACCCACTATACCACAGTGCCAGTCCCTGTTCTTTCTTTTTTAAAAACTCAAATATGAAACCTGTCCTCTTATGTATGTTTATTTCTATTCATACAGACCCTACTCCATGAGTTGTCCAGGAGAGGTACTTATTCTTGCAAATTTCGAAGAGTAAAGGGTCAGCCCTTATGCTAATAAACTAAGGCCCAGCCTTGGTCATCTTGGGTTTTTGGGTACAGGGGATGAGCATGCCCAGTGCTGGGTCAGATCCTTGGTGGGGTGGGCAGTGGGGGGTTGGCATCTGTACTGTGAGAGAGCCCTGCCTTGGAGAGTCTGGTGTGCACCCAGCACTACGCAGGCTGCTTTGAGGGGAGGGACCTTGATTTTGCTCAAGCTGTGGTCTCGGTGGCTGACACGGAGAGATCCCCAGTGCCTCTCTGAGGCTGGAGATCCGTCCTTTCCTGGTCAGGCCTGCTATCTGGCAGGTGCCCAATAAATACTAAATTATTTGTGATTGTTTTGCTTGAATATCAAACAATTTACAACTGCTACTGAAATCTCACATCCTTACCTCTGCCCGAATGGGGAAGATCAAATTTTGATTACAAGAGCCTGAACAATTTCCTCACTTTTATTTAAAATAATTGGTTAGTGGGTCCCTGCTATTTAGAGTTAATAAAAAGAAATAAAAAATCTTATCAAGTTCCTTTATAAATCTCAGCAACTTACTCACCATGTACAGCTCGCTGACTTTTTCTTGGCACTTGACATATGCTTCATAGTCTGCAAAGACTTTAAACCTGTTGTGTATGGTTTATGATTGGGGGGAAAGACCAAAAGGGTTAATGAATAGACACATGCTAAGATTCCATTTAAAGTTCCCTTCTACACAGTGTCAGGCATGACTGATAAAATTCATCTTTCTCATGACAAGAATTTGACCCAACCTCAAGGTTTTCAGGGTTCTTCCTCCAGGTAGGAATGTCTGGAGGTTGGGTGTATCAGTGGGAGGAAGCACGTGCTGGGTTTGTGGGTCTTATTCTGAAACCTTGCTAGCATCCT